ATTAATATTTTAGCAGGCAGGCCAGCAGCCTGGCTCAGTCCTAGTTAGTGCCAGGTACAGAACCTACCTCCGCTGCAGCTCTGCATTTAAAGGGTATCCGAGGCAGCAGCATGGAGCAACAGGCAGCCGGTCTGTGAGGAGAGCTGGTTTTTAAACTGGCTTCCCTCGCGGACCAGCTCCTGCCTGGCACCCCACACTTCTGCCTCGGAATGGCAGATGGCTCATCAGGAGTGGGGCTGCCAGCACCACCTCTGAGGACTATAGACTGGTCGAGTAACTGATAACAATTCATGAGGTTAGTCGACTATTTAATTAACCAATATTGAAACATCCCTACTTACTACAGAAATGAAATGGGTTTTTAGTCACTGCAACTGATCCATTGCTTAGAGTGAATAGCTATATTGTCAGAATAATTCTCTCAAATCTAGATGCATTTAAACCAAGAATTACGGTCAGCTTAACTACATCACACAAGCATGTGAATTTTTCCACCTCTGAGTGACACAGTTAGGTTGATGTAAATTTTAAACTGTTGAGAGAGATCTTACTAGTGTAAACTCTCAGGAATTTCTCACAAATCCCATATTTTATCCAGGGCCGGCCTACAACATTTTGGCACCTGAGGAAAGGAGCTCAAATGATGCCCTCATGGCCCATCGCTTGGGCCAAAACTTAGAAAGGTCTCAAGTCTGCCTTCTTCCTGTTCTACTCCTCTCATGACACTCTACCATCTCTGTGCATCTAGAGAAGACAGAATAGGCCCCCAGCAGCAGACACAATTTTCTACACTCTGGGTCTTAGTGGCACCTCCTCTTCCCACAGTCTGGCACCTGAGGTGGCCACCTCAATTCGCCTCATAGTAAGGGCAGCCCTGATTTTATCTCAAGTCTCATGTTTTCCTCAAGTCACACCCACTGAAGTCATGTGATTACTTGAAAAATCTCAGAATTCATTTTTTAAAAACTAAGTTTCTAGCTCTTACGGTTGTGGAGAAAAATTTAAGAACATGAACCATCAATGTTCAAAAATTAAGACCACTACATTTGCTATTTTAAAAAATTGTACTATTATTGTACAATTTTGGGGGACTTGACTCATGATTTTAGAACATGTGAGTTGGTATCATGACCGGGATGTTGGTAGTCTGACCTAGTGGTCAAAGCAGAAGTCGAGACTCAGGCCAGGTCAGATACTCTGAGGTGAAAGTCTGAGAAAAGCTGGGGATAAACAGATTCAAGTATCCAAAGGAAGGTAGGGTCAGGTAACACTGGTCTACAATTTTTTAGAAGTCATCTGCTTCAGAGATAAAATGTGCTATTTATTATGTATTTTGAATTCAAATATGACAATTAAAACAACTGATTGGCTACTGTTTCCAAGATATTTAAGTTTTTACGTTTTACGTCTATGTATATTGTGTAGATCAGTGTTTCCCAATTTTATTTGGCCAAGGAACCCTGCAGAGACCCTGAGGGTTTTCAAAAAAAAAAAAAAAAAAAAAAAAAGGAGGGGGGGGGGTGGCAGAGGGACCCACCAATTCATGAAAATCCCCACCCTCCATCCCTGAGGCCTCATCTGCTCTGTTCCCCTCCTCTCCATCACTGGCTATCCCCAGCCCTTATACACTCTCACTAGGTTGAGACAGGAGGTGTGGGGTGGGAATGAGGGATTTGGGTGTGGGAAGGGGCGAGAAGTACAAGCTCTGGGAGGAAATTTGGATGCAGGAGAAGGGGATGTTGGCTCGGGGAGGGGGCTCCAGGCTCGGGAGTGTTGGGCTCAGGTGGAAGGTTGAGGTGGATGTGAGGGTGCAGGAGTTTGGGCTGGATATGTGACGGACTCAGGGCAAGAAGTTTGTGAGTATGACGCGCTCAGGACACAGATTTGCCATGTGTGGATGGTGTAGGAGTGTGGTGGCACAAGCAATTGTTTTCTAGACCTACATTATTTTTTAAGATGCGGTAAGAGTTGACTTAAGTCAGTGGAAAGTCTAAATGATCACAAAATCAATAAAACACCAAGGGTACGTCTAGACTGCAGGCTTTTGTTGACAGAGGCTTTGTTGACAGATACTGCTATTATTTCTATACTACCGGCAGTCAAATATTCTTCTGCTTTTGCAAACTGTTACCTCCATCTTGGAATAAACAACAACTGATCTCAAAGCATGAACTGGAAAAGACAGTGTCTCATGTCCTAGCACTCTGTAAAAACCTAAGAAGCCGTCGGAAAGCTTCCTTCACAGGAACTCAGTTCAGAACACATAGCTTCAGAGTAAGGGGATATAAAAGTTCAGCCTCTGTCAGCTTCCTGACTGCTATATTCTAAAACAGCAACCGAATAAGATTAGATTGGGAAAAAAAAGTGGATGAGGAACTGAGCAAGTATTTCAGTGAATCATCTTTACTGGACCAGAGGTTGGTAATATTCTGAAAAATAGGCAAAAGCTGACCTAGCAATTTATTGGAAAAATATGGAAGGATGTCTGAATCCAGCTATATCTTGTGTATGGATTCTAGCTGTAGATAGGAGTCCACTGAATGCATAATCAGTGTAGAGCATAAGTATGCAATAATGGATT